TTTATTGATTTTGTCAAAATCCCCTAATCAGCATTTATTAACTTTTTTCAATTTTTACATGCCAGCATTTATTGATTTGGTCAAAATCTCCTAATCAACATTTAAAATTCTCTCATGCAAATAATTATAGATATAATCCGTGAGTACCCTTTTCAACTTTTCCCATACATTATGGTTACTGATAAAAGTGTTAAATTATTTTTACAAAAAAATTACAGTTGATTGTGGGTTATTAGTTCCTGAGCTTTCTATATTCATATAAAAAGTATCTTCTAGGTTAGATTGTTCTAGTATTCTAAATATTTTGCTAGGATGTATATTATCTTCTATGATATCATCTACATATTCCGTATGAAATTTCTGATCCAAAAATGACACTGCTTCGTCATGGGTATCTCCTCTGGCTAAGTATTCATAATATCTGGCATCTAGTATTTTATTCATGTCTTCTAGGGTAAATTTTTTTAAATCTATCTCATCAATATTATATATCTTATTTTGTGATATAGCGAACAGTATTTTTTGACTAAAATGACACTGCTTCGTCATGGGTATTTCCTTTAGCTAAGTATTCATAATATCTAGCATCTAGTATTTTATTCATGTCATTTAGTGTAAATTTTTCTAAATCTATCTCATCAATATTATAAACTAGTTAAAAAAAAATAAAATAATATTGAAATATTATAGAGAAATAATAAAGAATTTGTTAGAAAATGTATTTAAAAATATATAAAACCAAAGTAGAAAAAATAACTTTTAAGTTAAAATATAACAAAATTTTAACTAGTTTATTATTGATGTTCTAATGTTTCATTTGTTAACTATATATTTTAGTCAAAAAAATTATTATAAATTATTATATCATTTTTTCTATTTTTTTACACATTTTTTTTTGTATAAAAAATTAAAAAATTATTAAAATAACCTATTCCCAAACGAGACCAGAGGCCATATTTGGCATCAAGTTTCCCAGGTTATTTTTTCCTCAAATTTGTTAAAAACCTTTGAAAAATGCTTGGGAGCACTAATTAGTGCTCCCACTAATTAGGTGGCAGTGGGTCCCGCCATTAATGATGTGATATTTTGGTCTTGGAGTTGTATTTTTTTTTTTTAATTTTTTTAATGCATTAGTACTATTAGTGGTGATATTTTTAGCGGGATGAATCATTGTTGAAAACCTTTTAGCCTTTACTGTAGCCTCAAATTTGTAAAAGACCTTTTTACCCTTGGTTGTGCATCTCTACAAACCTACAAGGCAACTGGTCAGTAAGGCCATTCATTTCTCTCATCTGTATTGTCTTAGGTGTGAACCGAGGGCTTGATAGAAGAATGAGGTTTCTCTCTCCGGCGGCTTTCACTCCGGCGGAACTTGGATGGAAAGACCCACTAACCGACTGTTAAACGCGTTGATCGTCGAAGACCTGCGACAGGTATGGTGTACTGACCCTATTTCTGTGCTGCTTCTTCGTTTTCCAACTTCATCTTTCTGGTTTTGAGCGCACTTCCCAGATTGCACTGTGATTTGGCCGGTATTCCTGGTATTTTGTGTTTTTCTTTCACCGATCTGCACCAATTAACATTTTTAACTGATTTACTTATTTTGGTTTTTTTGTTGTTCCATGGGACTACAAAATAGGGCAAAACCACCGACAATCTGGAAGTGTTTTTGGAGATTTGATTTTGTTTTCTTCCTTCAAAATCTTGGGTGCATATTTATTTTTTAATTTTGTTCCTATGACTAGCTTCTCAGTTGTTCTGCTGAAACGGAAATGGGAAACAAACACCAAAATTTTGCGAAAGACCAGGATTTCTTTATTTATTTTGATCCTCTTTTTTTGACATTGTGAACAAAATATAAGAGATAATGATATCAAATTTTTTAGAGCAAGCATCCATTTCCAAACATAGTGTATATCATTCTTGTTATCTTTATTTTCATTTTGGTGTTGGATATCTGTACACATTTTTGTTTTTGAGTTTCATGAAATTGGTATGCTTATACAAAACTCCAACCTTGTTTCCTTTGTATCCCAAAAAAATAAATAAAAGAACTCCAACCTGAACTCTGCTAAATTAATAAACAAAATTTTAAATTATAAAATAGGTAAACTAATTAATTGAAATAAATTGCAATGATAAAATGATATCTGAATTTTTTAAGTTCATTGTTCCCAACTCTGTGTTTGTCATACAAAAATGATGTGCAGTACATGTTTTTTTTTTAAGTTCTTATTTGCGTTGTATACTCTACTGTTCTGCTGACATTTGTATGGGACACAAAACACCACCTACAAACCAATTTCTCCGATTCAACAACTCAAAGGTGCATTACTGTTTCTTTTTTTAATTTTGTTATTTGTTTGTATACTCTTCTGTTCTGCTAAAATGAGTATGGCAAAACAAACATCACCTAAAAACATATTTCTCTGATACAAAACCTGTTGTCAAAATCTATTGGGCACAATTAAGACTCTGGTTGATTTTTGGTTTCTTGTTATTTTTTGAAACTCTGTTCTTGTAAATATGTGACGAATAAATCTGTGCTTCAAAAATTTCAGTTATTCATTAAATATGTTTTGCTTTTGCAATGGTGCAGTTATACATTAATTACCTATTGATTCGTTATTTTGCTGTTATAAACTAACTGCTGGACTCTAAATTTCAACGAATATACATGTATTGTAATTGATAACCTAATATGTGCTGCTGTTGTAGTCATGTGTTTGTTTTGTGTGTACTAATATGTACTGAACACCTGTTCTTCAAACACGAAGCATTTCAATTAATATACTCGGAAATATGAAAGGACTATTCCACGGCGAATTGTAACACACTTTTTCATGTCATTGTTGCCTTTGTTGTCTCTGGTGTTGTTTCCGGTTCCAAAACAGCAGATGGATTCATCTTTTTCCACTGCCACGTCGACATGGCCACGGCGCATGTGTGCTAGTGGCTATGGCCATTGTTTTGTAAAGGTCTCAAGATCTCACAAAAATTCTGGTCGTGCGTATTATGTTTGCCCGCGGCCCATGGTGAGATTAACAAATGATTATTTCTCAATCCATATGTTTGCAAACTATATTTCCCATAACTAATAATTGCTACGTTTGTTACTCATCAACAATGTGTTAATTGGATTGGTTGGTGTGACGAGTCAGGGAGTGTAACAACCCCGAAATCCGATTAACGCTAATCTATGATTAATTATGCCTAACAGTAATTAAGAAAGGATTCTGAATTAATTTGCATGAGTGTATGTTGCACTATCTGTGTTTGTATCTGTTTAGCATAGAAAGATTTGTTCATATTTTAGCTTCGGTTTGCAAATTGAGGGCCTTATCGGCATCCAATTAAGAAATTGAATTGACTTGACTTATGTGTTAATTGAGAATTTTAGAATTTTATGATAAGTTTAATTGAAATCTGATTTGAAGCGATTAAATTAGATTAAATTTATGTCATTTGATTAGTTTTGTTTACATATTACTTAGTGAGCCTTTTTGACCCCACTAACTCAATTTCCTTGCATTTAACCCACACACTCTTGAGTTCTCACACACACAAATGTGAGAAACGGAGAGTAGAGGGAAATTGAGCTCAAACAGATTTGGCTAGGAAATTGAAGACAATTTAAGGCCTTGGGTTAGAATCACACTTGAATTTAACCTTAGGTGAGAACTATACTCTTAAACTTTGTATTTATGATAATAAGTATGTGAATTCAAGAGAGTTAGGTGTGTAAGTAAGCTAAGATTGAAGAATTAAAGCTCAATACATACATGCATATGTGATTCATGGCATTTGAGGTTGTTTTTCCAAAGGATTCTTGCATACATGCCATGATCCTAGCTTTGTTTTGGAAATCCTTCATGTTCTATGTCATTTTGTCATAGTTGATCATGTTTTAAGAAGCTTTGGATCAAAGAATTGCATGCAATACATGTTCATGTATTATTCTTGAGTCTCAAGTTGAAATTTTGCACAAATGGCAAGCCTTTGAGCTATGGTTCTTGAATTGATCCTTGGAACATGTTGTTTTATGAGTCTCTATGAGTTTCTAAAGTTTTGGTCCAGAAAAATTGAGTTTGATGTCTTGGAGGTTGAATTTGAACCTGTCGATCAAATCTAGAAATTCCAAAAATTTGATCCACGCTCGAGCGGGGAACTTTACGCTTGAGCAAGCACTCTGAGTGCGTGCACTTCTGCTTGAGTGACGTGAGTCACACTCGAGCGTGAAATGCATGTACCTAGAAGTTCATGTGTTTTACAGTCCGCTCGAGCGAGGGTCTGAGTCTTAAGCTCGAGTGGGGATCGAGCGTCTGTTGAGCGTGAAAAACATACATCCAGTACTTTTGTCAAATTTGCAGTCTGCTCGAGCAAATAAATTCACGCTCGAGTGAACCTTCACTTTCTGCATGTTTGCTCGAGCGTAGAAAGCCACGCTCAAGCGTGGACCCCATTTCTAGCAAAAATTTGTGAAATATTTTCAAGTGCATTGTGGCATCCTCTTTCTATCCTAGGCATTCCTAGGTCATGTTTAAGACACTATAATGAGGTTAAAGACTAGAAACACACCCAGAACAAATAAAGCAAGTTACGCATAATTTGAGCGTGTGATTCAAGTGTGTATTTGTATGTAGGTTTGTGTAGGTCGCGTGCCTCGAACCATTTGATTAATTTGCTTTGTTTATTTTCACCCAAAGCCAACTATGAGTAATAACTTTGTAAAGTTATATTCAATTACAAGTATTTTTTTATCGATATGATATGATCTGTTTTTTGAAATGTTATTTACGAATTATGAATGAATGTCTATTTTTTTTTTATGATATATATTTATATATATTTGTGGCACCCATAGTTCACGTGGCCCTCGTCCGAGGGTAACAATATCGTGGCTAATTTGCACATGGCCATTCATCTGGAGCAGGGAGAGTACGTGACTTATCGTTACACATACTTCGTTGACGGGAGTCCATATCCCGATGAGGAGACCCGCTGGTATGCCCTCATCGAGCCGGGCTCGGGCTGCGGACGTCCCTTCCACTAGAAGGGCTGGTACATCCAGAGGTGGGGGTGGATTGGTTCCCTCGATTCCTCCGACTCATCATCATCCTGGGTGGCCAGACATGCCGACCGAGCTGACGGGATTGCGATTCGGGACTCCCTACTCAATTCCGATAGAGCCTCTCATGTTTGACCACAGATATGTTAGAGATCCTGATTCGCCGCCGGTATGCTTTATAACTTTGATTTATCACTCAGATACTTGGATATTCATTCATTTATTGATATTTTGCATTTGTATCTGCAGCCCCCGGTCGAGTATATAGATGAGATGCTCGAGTTGATGGCTGCACTCGAGGGCATGGTCTTACGGAGAGAGGCACAGTTGTCCATCATGGGTGTCCAGGTATTCTTTAATTTTCTCACATTTATCATATTTTCAATGACATGCTGAACTTGATCATTTCACTGTATTGGTAGGATGCTTGTGTACAGCACATCTGACACACACAACATTCATATACTGTATTTGCATGCACCCTCATTTCATGTAGTTTGCTTGCATCTGTATCTGATATACACATTTGAGCTGATGTATTCAAACTACACTTTTTATTTTCAGATGCCTCCAGTAAATCAGCCACGGATCGGGCCATCCAGGCCTTCTCGGGGAGCCGGGCCATCTCGACCTTCTCGGGGAGCTGGGCTATCTCGGCCTTCTCGCGGGGCCGGGAGAGGGGAGTCGTCTCGCAGACGCAGGGCACATATCGTAGAGGAGGAGCCCGGTGAGGACGAAGAGGAGGAGGAGGCTGCAGATTGTCAGTCAGAGACATCTGCTCACAGAGAGGAGGGTTTCGACCCTGGTCCCGAGAGTGGAGAGGAGGCTGAGGAGGATCCCGAGGATGACAGTTCCGACTCAGATGGTGCCGGTGGTGCAGAGCCTGTTTCGCAGAAGAGGACGAAGAGGGCTTTTTATTCTTGCTCTTGAGAGCATTGGTGCAGCTGTTTCCTGCTTTATTTATCTTTTTTACTAGTAGTTGTAGCACATTGTACATTATTAAGCAATTTTATTTTCTGTAAAACTTATACCTTTGTTGTAAAATGTTATAACAAAGGAAGCATGATGGAATGAAACAACTTTTTGAAAAAGTGTTATACTTTATATTCTCAGCATCGCATCGCATCATTTTGCAAATAATGAGATTAAACAGTAAATGTGCATTGTGTATTTGCCAAGTCAGGTAGCGAACCGACATGACAAACTAAACAACCTAACTTATTAAGAGACAACAAAACCTTAGCAAGTTTATAACACAACAAAATTGATAAACAAAGAGTAACAACTCAAATGTACAAAACTCGGCGACTCGATAAACAAGACTTGGTAAACGAAACAACTCGACCAACAAAACAACAATTCGATAAGCAAAAAAACAATTCAATAAGCAAGACTAAACACCAATTTAATAAACAAAACACATTTCGGACGATCTGGGTGATGGAACGCATTCGAAGCAGAGGGAAATAGAGGCCTTCGACACTCGCGATGCATGGACATGCTAGGAACATTCTTCTAGAGGGTAGAACAGGACCAAAGACATAAATTGCAGCATGGTCGGCCCCCTTTGGGAGCTGGTCGACCAGCTTTTTACATTTGAGGGGAGAGGGGTGGCCGGCCTACCAGAAAAGGTGGCCGGCCGGCCACTTAACTCAGCAACCACTAGTTTTTCGACACGTGTTCCCTCGAACAGTACCTTATCCCCTTTAAAAGTCCTAGCTCCGTGGCTCATTCATTTTATCTCAGTTTTGCACCAAAATGAAGGCGTTTCTCGTAGAAAATCTCACAGCTTGGATTGCTACTTTAGATGAGTCAGAAAAGTTGAACTTCCGAGGCTTCGACTTGAATGCACTATTCACGCTTAGTCGTATTTTGCTACACCTTCCCTTCCTCCATGTCGCGGCGAGGTTTTGGAACCCGGTAACACACGTTTTTAGCTTTGGCGGGTAAGAGGTATGTCCGACTTTCGAAGATTTTCAAGTTTTGATGGAATCTGAACGTTATGAAGAGACCTTGCCTCAGTTTCGCTTTGGTCACGCCCAAGCTTTAGGACAGA